TTTGCAAACATTTCTATGTTCAGTCACGGGATATTCAACTCTAGTTTAATTAAACTTAATTAAAGTGCAATTATCCATTGCATTGCATTGTAATTGAGTTTATTTAAACTCCAATTAAAATGCAACCCAATATAGGAACCCGTTTTTATCGCAACTATATTAAAAGTTAATTCAACTATATTAAAATTTAATCCAATGGTGGCTCCACAATTCATGGGATAATGAGCTAATTTTTAGCTGTTCCATGACTGTTCCATTGATATCTAAAGAACCACTTATTGGATTTTGATGAAACTTGGTACATGGATGTTCTGAACTAATGCTTGGTTTTGATTAGTTTTTGGTAAAAATTACCTAATTACTAATTACCTAATTTGCATAATGATTAGTCAGTTTTTGGTTTTTCCACTGATATCTCAAGTACTAATCATCACATTTCAATGAAATTTGGTACATAGATGTCATAGGACACTGCACAGACCTGATAGTTTTTAGGGTAATGTCAGTGCATATTAATTACCTAATTTGCATAATTAATTAATTTTCAGCGTTTGATGTTTCAAGTAGTAAGCATTACATTTCAATGAAACTTGGTACTCAAGGACTATGCAGAGATTGTTTTGGGAGAAATATTTGTGCATATTAATTACCTAATTTGCATAATTAGTTAATTTTCAGCTTTTCCACAGATATCTCAAGTACTAATTATCACATTGCAATGAAACTTGGCACATACATGTAGATTCTCTAGGACTAGGACTTGATTAGTTTTAGGGTAAATAATTGTGTATATTCATTACCTAATTTGCATAATTAATTAATTTTCAGCTTTCACACTGATTTCTCAAGTACAATTCATCACATTTCAATGAAACTTTGTACATGGATGCTGAGGACAATAGACAGACCTGGTTAATTGTGGGTTAAAATCTGTACATATTAATTACTAATTTACATAATTAACTACTTTTAAGCTATCACACTGATATCTAAAGTACAAATTATTCCATTTCAATGAAACTTAGTGCAAAGATGCTCTAGGACAATGTACAAACCTGATTAGTTTGGGGTTAAAATCTGTTTATATTAATTCCCTAATTAGTATAATAATTTATAATTTTTTGGGGTTCCAATCACATTTCAATAAAACTTGGTACATAGATGGTCTGTTACATTGCGCAGACCTCATTAGTTTTCCATTAAAATCTGTTCATATTAATTTTCTGATTTGCATTATTAGTTTTCGACTTTTCCATCACTATCACTATCTCTGACAAGTAAATTTGAATTATATTTAATGTATCCCCAATATACCTAGCACATGGGAGTTCTTTCTAAGCTTTCTAAGAAAATGGGGGTTAGTGGAATAAATAGATTTCTAACAACCTTCTATTGAACTAATTACTTTTGGTAATGTTGCTAAATAAAAAAAAAAACACATATTGAAATAGAATAATTTCATTCATAAACTATGGTTTGTAGTTAATAAGTCTCCAAATGCTAAATAAAATATTACTAACTTTTCATCAACAATGGTAGACTTGTCTGCAATTTCTGACTTTTTATTGACAAACCAAGCACTAAACTGCAACAAGAACAGTGAATGAGTGAATCAAAGCAATTTTTGGAAATAGGAAAGAAAAGTGCAATCACATTCCACATGGAAAAACAAAAATCACTGGCTGTCACACTGAGAGAGAAAAAAAAAGTGTTGCCAGGTTGGTGGGTAAAATAATTGACAGATTTTGAAATGGTCTGTTTTGTATGTCGGTTTTCACTGTTTTAAATCTATTTTTTTTGTGCAGGCAAAAAATGTACACATATTGTGTGAAAGGGAACAGTCTTTATCAGGACCACTGTGAACCCAACTTAAGACTTGTGCACAGACAATTGTCAACATGGTTCAAGTAAGTCAAGTATTAATGTAGCTTACACACAATTTTGAAGTAAGTCAAGTACCAGTATTCATATACAGGGATCTCCACAGCCCAATGGGAGTGCTTGGGAGCTATATGAATACTAATGAGCTTGGTCACAGTAATAAGATTATTACTATTGATTACTAAGATTCAAAAAAAATATCTGTTCAAAATGTGGTATCCTTGTAGTTGTTTGCAAGATGAGTAAGCCAAAATACAATAAAGGGTACAAGATACATTTGAAATGTTGCAGCCAGGTATATGTTCATGAGTTATGTTCACAAACTTATTTACAATCTTATATAATCGATTACGAAGTTTACGTCGTGACATAACTCACTTTGCAATGTTATGCACCTGTTATACCATGATGCCTTTTGCAGAGTCAAGATGTCATGCAAAGAATGTCAAATATGAAAGACAAGTAAAATTTTACTTAGTTTTATCGTGAGTTTTTGATCACTTTGGCAAGAAATACAGACAAACCATGATGTTTGTGACACACTAGTTGACCTGCATATTTTTTTTTTTATTAGACGCATAAAATCTTTAGGAAAGGATAAAAAGGGTCTTACAGAAAGAAATTAAAAAAAAAAACTACAATCTAAAAAAGAAAACAAAAAATAAAAACTTTTCTAAAAAAAAATAAATAAAACAAGTCAAAAACAAAAAAAGACAATTTGCAGCCAATGGTGAATACAGAATGTAGAATGAACACAAAATGTGGCCTAATACACTGATAGTTGTTGCTGTTTTGTTCCATAGCTGTTTTTTAAGAAGACAGCTAAGGCTGGTGCTAGAGTATGGTTTGCCATAATCAAAATGAATTTATTCTGACTATTTTCTTTATCAAAATTTGGAATTTTATTTTGTGCAGTCAGGAATAATTTGTCCCTATGGTGACTGTAAGCTGGACATTTCATTACAAAATGTTGCTCATCCTCAACTATATTTTGGCTGCACATATGTCCTTTAACATTATAGATCAAGAATCTCATTAATCAATAAGTTTTTCAAAAGGTAGTGATCATAAAAATTACATTGTGGAAGTAAAACAGTTCAAATGGTCTTTAACCACTCACGCAATAAACACATTTTTTCTTGAGTGTAGCGTAAACATATCGTGATTTTGGTAGGATTTTAGCTTTCAAATTAAGGACTTTGTGTATCGTCAACAAGTATTTAATTACAAACAATGTGGTGTTAATTTTACAAAATTGACCACATCGTGCAACTAGCTCCAAATTCTAATCAGCAACGGCAGGATGCTTGCCGGTCAGTGACTGTCAGGATGCTTGCCAGTCAGCGACTAGCAGGATGCTTGCTGGTCGGTGCATAATAATAATTGGACAATTGTTCTGGATGGAATTCTGAGTATTCCGGTCCGAGTCGACCGAGTGTAGGAAAAAAAAACCTTAGGAAAAAAACCCCTAGAAAAAAAAACCCTAGGAAAAAACCCCCCTAGAAAAAAACACCCATAGTGAAAAAAACACTTTTAGGAAATACTTTTGCAGAATACGGAAGACTTACTAACTTGTTTCTCATAACTATATTCACAGAATTGACATAAATGGTCACACATGTTACTAGTATATTATTGTCTCATTGTGTTATTCTTTGATCTTAGTTGTGAACATCTAGTGTTAATTTGTGTCAATCACTTGCGTTTATAGGCAACCTTTGATCTTGAATGCCTATTCATTGGTGTTTTGTTAAGTGTTTAATTCTATATTGTTGAGGGATGCCTTTGATCTTTACATAAGATAAGTCTTGTTCATTTAGTTTTAAATCTTTGATATAGATTGGTGGATTGATGGACAGGAAAGGGCAAAAGTAAACATCAAGCATTATTACACAGTATTTTTTTTATTTTTCATTATTTATTAAATATTTACAAAATGTGAAACATTAAATTATTCAACTACAAGATTATTATTTAACTACCACACACTGTAATTAAACCCACACCATTATTTCCACCTGGCACAATGTCCCACGGCTTCAAGAAATTGTTGAATGTCTTTTCTTCCTTCAGAAAAATCTTTGCATAAGTTGTGAAGTTTTTCTTGTAGCTGTTTTGTCGCCCTATTGACGCGTTTTCTTGGGGGTACTCCACGGGACATCTGGTATAAAGTAGTTGAAACAAGAGCTGCATCTTTTCTGATTGCATCAACTGCAGCCCATACAGATGGATGGTTATAGCCAATGCATTATTCCAGCTTTCACTCGGGTTGTTTGTTCTGTCTTCGTTGTTGAGTGTTGCTTGATGAACATTCCACAATGATGGCGGAAACAGTGGAGGAATCCTGCGATATCTAAGAAGAGGGATACCGCCACCAGGATATACAGGCGGAGGTTGAATTCTTCTGAAGGAACCTGACACATAGCTGGAATCAAAGTAGTTCAGGAGCTCTTCTAGATGATCTGTGATCTGTGCAAGCAAGATACTGACAATGGGCAAGCATTGGTGATAAAAAACAATTGTTTTTCACTATGGGGTTTTTTTCCTGGTTTTTTTTTTTCCTAGGGTTTTTTTTCCTAGGGGGTTTCTTCCTAAGGTTTTTTTTTCCGGACCCCAAGTCGACTACCACCAACCAATGTATAAATACATGCTACATGAGAATAACTCTATTTAGTGTTCTTATGTTACCTGGGAATACCTTTTAAAACAACCATGTGTTGTACAACCGCTCACATATGTGAGATTTTTTTTGACTTGCGAAAACAGTCAGACTCACATATGTGACATTAAAAACTATTCTCACATACATGACAACAATG